TGTGTCTACAGGTGTGTCTACAGGTGTGTCTGCAGGTGTAATTTCTGGTGCTGTTTACTGCGTCCATGCTTTTGTTCCCTGAGTCCGGCCTGTGAGGCAGCACCTTTTCCTCTGTACCTGCTGAACATCCTCCGTGAACGAGCCTGAAGCCTTTAGTGTCAGAACTCATAACCAGCAGGTGAGTTTCACTGCAGACGTCAGATTCTTGTGTTCAGAGGAGAAATAAAACGCATTTCGGTGAGTTGAGCTGAAATTGTGGGCTGCCAGCGTTCTGTAGGCATCGGTTAACCTCCCTTTGAGACGGACCCATGGCTGTTGGAGAACTTTGTTCTCCGTGTTCTGCAGCTGCACGCTGCTGACGATGGTCTTCGCTGAACTGCCCCAGAACCTTCAGCGGAGTCACATGAGGTTCTGTTCGGATCTGACAGGTTGATGTTCAGCTGTTCTCCACTGCAGGAGCCTGCAGGCAGCTGTGGGGTGACCAGAACCTTTGACCAGGAACTGGCTGCAGGAGCCTGAAGGTGCTTCTGAAAGGCGGTTTTTTCTCTTCAGATCAAAGCTCCTCTGAGTTCTGCTCATCACAGCTCTGATGAATTATAAAGGCGAGGATGGAGAACCCGCCCACAGCGAGCTGCTGGTCTGAGCAGATGTTTCCTGGAGAACATCAGCGACATCACACATTCTGACCTGCATGAAGATGGATTTCTGTGACTCCCACAGGAGTGCAAAGCAAGACTGGGCCTTGTGGCTGCTGCAGTAGACCCGTCTGTCTGCATCATGAATGTCTAACGCGACTCGGACCTCTTCTGTTGTTTACTTCAGATTCATCATGAAGACGTTTGGTGTTGATGGTTTACGGTTGGAGCTGTGATGAGCTGAGTCCAGAATACTCACGTTGGAAAATTCTGACCTGACTTAGACGCAGCACAAGTCAGACGAGACGCTGTACCTTCAGGACAAACTCAGGGACCAACTGACCCACGCTGACCGTGACGACGGCGGCGGAGCAGCGACTCGATGATCTCTCCCAGAGCGACCTGAAAACGGCCGACTCCTGCTGACGCCACGTTTTTACAGCTGATGGATTCACTGACTGATAGCCTGATGATCAGAGCTGATATTTAACGCGAGCTGAGGCGTCCAGGTAGGACGTCCTGCGACTGTTGGCGCCTCGCGGCGCAGGACGAACCCAGGACTCTGAAAGCAGCAGCTGCTCTGACTCAGCCTCCTGCAGCGTTTCCTGATTGGTCGCAGCCGGAGGTTTGGCGGCGGCTCAGAAGACGCTCGGCCGACTCCGCTAAAGGTCGCCGAGCGCCTGAAGCGCCTTCATCAGCGGCGACTCATCGCCACAGCGTCCAATCAGCTGCAACCTCTGGCCCCCCACCCTCTGAGCTCATTCAAACAGACGACAGACTTACTGAGTCGCAGCCACTCCCATCGATCCTCCCACTTGTCGATCATCTCCTTCCTCTTGTCGGTCAGCTGCAGCAGCTTCTCTTTGATCTGAGCGACACAGGACAGGTGCACAACTTTATTTATACCAGCAGAGACTCACGACGACAGGCGTTCGCCTCCTCGTTTGCTTTCAGTAATGAATCTGGTCAATTAACTTTGGTTTTATTAAACACACGAGTGTCTGACCTGTTCACTACCCGAGTGTCTGACCTGTGCAGCGGCTCACCTCCTCTGAAGCGTAGTGCTTGCGGGCCAGCAGGGCCTTGCCCAGCTCGATGCAGGCGGTGAAGCTGTCGTTGCGGGCGTCGATCTCGGCCTTGATGCCCTGATGGTTGTTCATCAGCAGCTCCACCGAGGAGACGTCTCTGAACACACAAACAGCTTCTGTCAGCGACGATCGGTGGCGGCGGCGGCGCTAACCTGCTGCAGGGTGAAGCTTACCTGGGATTCTCCTGTGCCTCGATGAGCCGGATCACGTCATCCATCCACAGCAGCAGGTCTCTCACCATGCTGAAGAAGCGGAACTTGTCACCGGTGTCGAGGAGGCGAAGCCGGCGTCCGTCGCAGGCCTCCAGCAGGCTCCTCCAGGCCTCCAACACTTCGCTCTCCCTGCGCTGGATGTCGTCGGCTTTGTCTCCGGCGTACGCCGACTGCAGGCGCACCGCGTCCTCCTGCAGCTGCCTCACCTGCCACAACATGGCAAAGGTCACAGCTCTCGGTTAACCTTGCTGATGCAACTGCACCTCATAGAGGAGCGCCTTAGAAAGCTGAAAATATATTTACTCCTGTTTCCACAGTTTAACTTGATCTGTCACCGTTTTAACTGGTCATTTTAATGGAGGCAAACACGATGACAGAGAAGCTGTTAATATGATGGTATTCTCTGGTCACATGATGCTCATAAACATTTATCTCTCATGCTGATCGATGGATCAGCGTATTGATCAGAACGTCCCCTTAGAGCAGGTCCATGCGGACTCACCTGTGTTCCCAGGGCCTGGATGTCGTGTTCGAAGGTGGTGTGCATCCTCTGCAGCGTCTCCACGGTGTTCTGGTCGCGGCCCACCTCCTCCGGCAGCTTCTTCTGCTTGTCCACGATGCGCCCCAGGATCTCCTTGGCGTCGTGGTAGAACTTGTGGAGCTCGAAGGAGGCGGCAAGGATCTGCGTCCGGGTGTCGATCAGCTCCAGCAGGTCGGCCCAGGCCTCGTTCAGGCCGTCCTTCCACTCCGCCACCGTGGCAGCGTCGCCGTGACCGGCGTTGATCAGCTCATCTGCCAGACGGTTGACGGCGTCCACGCGCTCCTGCCCGATGTTTCCGGTGTCGCGGGCGAACTCGCGGAAACGCTCCTGCAGCATCTGAGCGGTGAGCAAAGGTCAGATGTCAACACATGACCAGCATACAGTACAGGAGCATGTAGTACTGACTGGGGTACTCTGAATACTGCATCAGATGGACAAAGGAGTACCGTTTCTGCAGTAACACACACCTCCAAGCTGTTGACAGAAGTACTACCCGGTATAGCTGCAGTGAGATGTTCTGATCTGATCTCAGAGGCCAGAATCAAGGCCTTATTAAAATTAGATTATTTTGGGGCATTTTTTGCCTCTTTGACAGGAAAGTGAAGAGAGAGAGGGAAAGGTGGGGATCAGAGCGGGGGAAGGGCATGCAGCGAATGAGCCGCTGGTTGGACTCAAACCACGGCTGCTGCGTCGGGGACTACAGCCCTGTACACGGGTCGCCATCTTGTCCGGTTGAGCTACTGGAGCGCCCTGAAGCAAGGCACTTTTTAACTGCCTGGTATCAAAACCCTACATCTACCCTCTACCTCTACATCTACCCTCTAACCCTACATCTACCNGTCTCTCTAGAACCTTCGTTAGCGTTCAGGAACTGTCTCTGCAGAACCTTTATTTGGGACATTTTCAGCAGATAAAAGCGTTACAGAAATGTTACACTGAACAAAGTTTTCTCTGGTTTGAAGCTCACCTGAGCCGACAGGTGAGGTCAGCTGATGCAGCTCACCTGTGTTCACTCACATCCATCACGTTTAGTTTCAATGAGCTGATTTCTAGTGAATCTCCTGCAGCGACTCTTGACTTCTTTCTTGGAGCCAATTTGTGATAAATTGTGTCTCGTTGTTCAGGTGTGTTTCAGGTGTGTTTCAGGTGTTTGAGGAGCTGCAGTAACAGATACAAAGTTTGTCTGACCGTCGCCTGGTTGCATCGCCGATCCTGTCACAGAAACAAGCCGACGACCACCTGGTTGATTTCAGACATTTTAATGTGGTCACATGAGAAGAAGACGAGGACAGAGAGCTGGAGTGTAAAGTTAAAAGCTTTAATGACATCGCACAGATCGGACAGAGAGCTTTAGAGTCTACAGGTGCAGGTTCATACATGAGGAAAGCTTTTATGATCTAACTTCTGTTTAAATATTCAGCCTTAAACAGCTTCTTCTTCATTCCTATAGATGCAGTTCTGATTGTGCAGTAAGATGGCGTTAACTTCCATACATGTTCAGTACAATAGATATACAGTGACGGAGCAACACGAGTATCAAAGAGCAGAAAATCTGAGCGACAGCAAGCAAGCGACCTTCATCGGCCTGCGGGACCACTTCCTGTCTGCAGGACCGCTTCCTGTCTGCAGGACCAACCAGCGAGTGTTGACTGTACACGGCGAGCTTCACCTCCGACCGAGAACCAAAGAAAACCGAGATAAGGTTTAAAAAACAAGAGTTTTAGTTTCAGGTGAGTTTTCAGGCGACACTCTGAGGAAGCATGCACGTGGACGTTTCTACATCATACACCTCCTCAAAGGTGATTGGCTGTTTTCAACCAACACAAAACGTTGCAGAGCAGCAGAAGTAAAAAAAAATACAAAATAAAAGTAGAAATAAAAGTAGAACTAAATGCACTGTTGGTCCGATTTCTCAACGGCAGAAGAACGCAGGTCGTCTCTGAAGATTCACGAAACGGAAGAAACAACTCGGAGTCGGTAGAAAAACACAAAATCAAAAAGAAACGACAACAGAATAAAACGCGTGGTCACTGATGATGTCACTGTGATGTCACGGCGGACGGACGGACTGTTGTGGCGTCGCAGCGTTCATCGTCCACAAACCGACACCGGAGCAGCTGGTCGGTTTCCACGACGATGAACCGCCTTCACCTCGCACGCGGCCCGACGTCACGACAGGCGTGAACGCGACGCGTCGCTCGGCGTGTCGCCGTAGATGCTGAGCTCGGCCGTTTCTGTTTTAACGCCACACATGGACACGTGCGGCGGCGCGTTGTTCCCGCGGCGTCCTGTGATGTCACGTTAACCACGCGGAGAAAACAAACATCAAAAATAAGGAAAAAACAAACTGCATCAAGAAAAAAACACTACAAACAATCCAGCGCTGCACTTTGGTGAAACTGTCGCGGCTTCCAGCTCCACGCACGAACTCCGGCGGCCTCCAGCCTCTCATTGGCCGTTCAGCAGCGACATCAGAGTGACGTCACAAGCAGGTGTGCTCCTTTGTTCTTTCTAAGGACCTCACTCTGGTGACAATCGTTCTAGTTTTTATTGAAGGATTCTGGTTTCAGGCTGAGAGCTTCTGGAGGTCTCCTGATCCACGGCGTGAAGCTGGAAGCAGCTGGACAGACGCTCTGAAGCAGGTTCCAGTTCTGACGAGACATTTATAAAGAAGCAAAACGTTTCAGAGCGTCGGTTTCACCAAAGCGCTCAGTCTGACATTCTACTGACGTTCTACTGACGTTCTACTGACGTTCTCCTACGTTCTACTGCTTCTTCTTGCTGAACAGGCTGAAGCGTTTCTCCTTGTCCTTCTCTTTGTCCTTCTCTCTCTTGCCGGGACTCGACTCGCTGCTGAGCGTGACGGCGGCCGGCAGCGTCTGAGCGCGCCCGGAGGCCGGCGTGCCGGGGTTGCTGCCCTGGACGTCGGCGCGGTCGGCGGTGTTCAGGATGGCCTGGATCCAGGTGCTCATCTCCTCCTGCAGGGGGCGACAGGCACACTGTGGTTCTGCGGCTTCACTGGTGAAACGAGCTGCTAAAGCTAAAAGGCTGAGTGCTGAAGAGCAACAAGCTGCAAGCTTCTGCAACACATGACTGGACAGGAATTCTTTTCTCGTTTTTAATGGCTGTAGGCAAACAACTAAAGCTACAACATGAACCCCTGTGGCTGGCGGCGCCACCCTGTGGCTGGCGGCGCCGCCACCCTGTGGTGTCACAGGACGAGAACGAGGCCACAAACAGCAGCAGGAATATTTAGAGCGTTCTACTCACTCCTCACTGAAAGTGAAACACAACTAGTGCCAGATACCCTGTAAAGAGCTTTAAGAGGCCAAACAGCTGGTTCTGGTTCCGCTAGGTCCGACATATTTCATCCAATCACAGTCCTGGACATTGTGCAGATACTTAACGTCTGACATCATGTATCGCTGCTCTGTGATTGGCTGGTAAACCTTTAACTCTTTAACGCTTCGTCCAATCAATACGGACAGTCTGCAGCGTCGCCACCAGGGGGCGCCACCGCGACAACTAAAATATGCTAAATACTGGAAACATACTCTGAGTAAAGCTCAGCTCGCTCACATGCGCTCTGACTGTTTTGACTCTGGATCGACCCAGTTTACAAGAACCAGACCTGGCTCCACTTCAGCTGTGCTGTTCATGAACATACGGACTTTCTAGACTTTCTTACTACTCGTCATGCGGTCGATTCCCTTCATCTGAGACAGTCGACTGTGATCTCATCTGCTGTTAAAAACAGGACTTAATCTGGGCTTTAGTCTAAGAACTGGACCAGACTCACTTCATCTTTGGCTTGGAACAGATACTCGTTTCCATCGGCGACTCTGAAACAGAGAAGAGAAGAACCGTGAACAGGAAGCAGCCGCGTCTGTTTGGACTCGTTAGCCAACACCAACCTGGAACTCATAGTTCATCTAGAACCAGAACCTTGTCTGGTCCAGCTTCACCACATCAGGGTCTGCTGATGCTAGAGCCTCAACAGGTGGTGAAATGTGACCAGAGACTGGGTTCTAGTAGAACCATGGACCCATCTATAGACAGACACCGACAGGACCTTTCTGGATCAGCAACTAAACTGAGGCCTGATGGATCCGTTCAGTGGTTCTGATGGAACTGTTCTGTCTGAGTCTCCACATTTCATGTTGGACTTTTTTTTCTGGAGGTTCTGAACCTGAGAATGGACTCTCAGGTGAGTTTTTTTGGTAAATGTGAAACATTCTCGGATCTGAAAACATCAGAACCTGAACGGGCTGTGAGGCGATGCGTGAAATGAGCCTCCGGGTCTCGTACCGGAGCTTGAAGACGTGCTTCTTCTTCTTGTAGTCCGACGCCACGTCACAGGTGGCGTCCTTCAGGCTGATTGGCAGCTCGTTGTGGTACGGGACGCCCTGATTGGCCGCCTTGCTGTCCTTGTAGAAGCCCATTTCCTGGTTGTTGATGACACAGTACACATTGTGCCACGACCTGCCAATCACAGAGCAGCAGGGTCACGTGATGCAGCGACAGCAGAGCGGAGTGAGGCGTCCCGCTCGGCGAGGATCTGACTTACCTGTTGGACGCCTTCTTGTTGTGCCCCTCCCACTCGTGTTTGCGGTACAGCAGCCCCTCCAGCTGCGACGCCGTTTCCTGGTTCTTGGCCGGCAGCGTCGACGATTGGCTGCTCTTACTCTTCCTGCCGGAGGTGGGCGAGGGGGCGGGGCTCGGCTCCTTGGAGCTCCGCTCAGCGACGCCGTTCACCAGACCGCCGCCGTCCACGCCGTCCTGGACGGTCCGGGAACCAGGAGCACAGACACAATCACTACCGATCAATACCGATCACTACTGATCAATACCAATCAATAGGAGAACAAACACTGAAGCTCTGGTTTCATCTTTAGGAGGATTTCTGGATGTTTCTGTGATGAATGAAACCCGATTCTTCAGAGCTGCTGGATGAAGAAAGGTTCTGAACCAGAGTGTGTCAGATCGATTATTGACCCGTTTATCAGCCAGAACCGATCAGACAGAACCACTAGATCCTGTGAAGAGTTTCAGTCGGAGAGAAAAACACACATAAACCTGCAGACTGACAGAATCGTACTGACCCGAGGAGAGTCCTGGTCCGATGGGAGTCCGTTCTGAGTGACGGCGCTGCAGAAACACACACAGACTTAAATGAGTGCTTCCTGTATACGTGGCCCCGCCCACTACCTGCTGCTGACCACACTGTCACCTCTGCTGCTGGACTTCCTCCTGCTGGACCACCGGTTCTGGAGATGGAGGCTTCCTCCTCCGCTCCTCCTCCTCCTGCTGCCTCCTCACCTCCAGCAGCTCCAGCTGCAACACACACACACACACACACACACACACACACACACACACACACACACACACACACACACACACACACACACCTTTATCACCATCCTCTTCATCACCTTCACCAACATCATCATCATCATCTTCTTCATCCTCTCACCGTGGTCAGCCTCTCCAGAGCAGAGAATCTCTCCTCCCAGGTGGCGGCCGACTTCTCGAAGGCCTCGTGGCGTTTGATGAGCTTCTCCACCTCGTCCACGCTCTGCCCCACCTCCCTGCTGGACAGGTAAGGCTCCTGGCCCAGCAGCCACGCCTCGGCCACACCTGCATCCCGCGAGAACTGGTGCACCTCCAGGACTGAGGAGGAGGAGGGAGGAAGGTCAGTAACATGTTGCAGGACACTGAAGTACACGCCCTCCCAACAGGTACAGCCTCACAGGTGTCTGCAGGTGTGTCTACAGGTGTGTCTGCAGGTGTGTCTACAGGTGTGTCTACAGGTGTCTACAGGTGTGTCTGCAGGTGTGTTTACAGGTGTGTCTAGTGTGTCTACAGGTG